GCAGGTTTGCATTTTCTGAATAAATACAATAATAAACATTTCAGTTCTTTAAAGTCCCATGAAGATCTCCCACCCAAAACTAATGTCAGCAAATAACTTTTGTGGATTAGTAGAAAACACCTGATTTTAGAGAACAATTTAAGGTATGATATCACTGGAGTATGATTTTTGTTGTCAACCATAGAATTCTATTTTTATCAACCATAAATATTCTTTATATATCAGCATCATTTTAAATAGCTACAATTTAAAAATAAGATTATAACTACAAGTCAAGGCTAGAACACAGTGGATTTCATGAATTCCACCTAGACTTACTAATAGATATAAACAGCAGGCATTTCCTTCAAAATTATTATGTTTTATTTTGAGATATAAGTGAAAAGAAGGCAAAAACTGATACTGAAATAACCCAGTGGTTTTCATACTTTACTGGGACATGGTAGTACTTTTTTTATATAGTATTAATACCGTCAGAAGGTCTCCACCTTTTAAAATATGATTGATTGCACATTGACCCTTTTTCCCATTCCTTGTGTGCCCAAGTTTCAAAACAGGGCTTATTTTCAGATCTTCAGCTTCCAGGAATGTTATTAATGTCTGTCATTTCAGAGCCGCCATAACAATATTCGACAACGTCACAGCACTGTAGAAATTTTACAACATAATAATTAATATGAACTCCCCTGATAGCCAAAGTAGCTGATCTTATATTCCCTACCACCCTGATCTGATTACCCCAATATCAGCTTAGGTCGCCTAATGGATCTAACTTCTTAAAAAATGTTCCAGAAGTTGATGGCTTTGACTAGCTTGAAAGTAACAAGATCCAGATGCCGCCTGTCTACACAACACTAAACTACAGAGGACCCCGAAACAGCTTTTTTTTCAAAACTCTCTCTATATTTTTTAGCCTCTGCTCTCTTCCCTCACCACTACACTTTCCCTCTTTACCCCAGTCTCTCTCTCTCTCTCTCTCTCTCACACACACACACACACACACACACACACACACACGCACGCACGCACTTTCCACCAGTATAGCTCATCCAGCATCCTGTGTCTTTAATATAATGCGCATGACATTATTTCCTGCTATTAATAGGTTTAAAAAAAATCTCAAGCAGAAAAGCAATTATTCCATTCATTGTGATCTAAAGTTTCTTTTCTGAATAGACTTCATAGTAGAAAACAATGACTAAAAAGAAAGTGTGAATTTTGAAACATTTGGAAAAATTTAGCCAAATGAGTCAAAGGGATGGAATGTTCGATATGTTTCATGCAACCTTTTAGTTTGTTGTTTTTGTTTCTTTGGGGGATGAGAAATGACTATAAATTTCCCCTTTTTAACTTGTCCTTGCTTTGCCATTTCCTTGAGGAAGGCAGGCAGCGTTCTTTACCCAATCTCCAAAGAGTTAAAGCTCAAGGCACTGGAGCAGAAGGGCTGGTCTATTTAAGCAGCAGCAGCACAAACTAAATGCTCACAAAGGCAAAAAGCAATGTGAGTCGACCTTGGAGGGGCAGGGCGAATCAGAGAGCAATGGAAAAAGGCAGGAAAAAAAACCCCAACAATCTTTAATATGATATAGAAAGTCTGCTGCCTGGTCTGGTTCACAAATATGCATTGTTTGATGAGACAAAATAAATGAGAGATAACTACAGCATGAATTACCAAACCCTAATCACATCAATGAGTCCTGGTGACAGCACAGATCACTCAGGCACGCCTTGTTCACTCTCAGCATATTTATTTATTAAGAAGACTGCGAGGTCTGGCTAACATAATACAAAATAATATCATCTGTAAAGAAATATAATCCATGCATTCAAGGTAGGAACTCTACCAACATTTTTTTCACCCCAAATCATGTCCAATTTATTTGACAAATTGGAGCAGTGATTTCACACCTGAGTCTTTCATGTCTGAACTGCAGGATAAAGTTCATGGTTGGCACTGCCCACTGCTTAGTTACTGTGGGCTTGCCACTGGCCCCCTAATGCTCATTTGAGCACACACATAAAGCCTAAACTATTTAACTGATTCATGTCCAATTACCATCAGTTAGATTTCATCCTATTTCAAGACCCAGGCCTCCTGACGGCAGCCAACGCAGAAAAACGGAGCTTATAAAAAAGTAAAAGACACCTATTGTAAAGATCCAAAATTCAGTCTCTAGCATCCTGATCATCCTCATTATAACATAAAATATGTAAGGCAAATAAAAAAAAAATGCACCCAAACAAACTCCAAGAGACTTTAGTTAGCTGTCTACCTTCCACACCTTTCTTTCATTCTCTAGTCTGCGATTAAAAGTTTGAGTTGCCCCCACCCTGGTGTGTCCTATCCAGTGGGAAAAACCCTCTTTGAGCCACAAAGAAAGAACAGCCCCTGAAAAGCCCCTGAAATTGGATTCTTGTGCCTCATAATCACCGTTAGGGTCTCCTTTCTAACAACCCTGCCCATCTGCAAAGGACTTTACAGATTTCAGGAACATTTATGCTGCCAAATAACAACAAAGGAACCGGAGTGAAACTATTATCTTTCCGTGAAGAGAAAGCCACAATTCGGGCTTGCTTTCTTCCTCTATTCTCCTCCGCCTCATTAACTCTATTGGTATGTTACTAATTTCAAAGAAGCAGGAAGAGGTGATAGGGTTTAAATATTAATTCACATGCCTGTCCGTTTCCCATCCCAAGTGCAAAAGGATACTACGCTGATTGCCAGACTGTGGGTCGAGCCATACCTTGGTTTGGAGATAATGAGGATAGTAGTAAGTGTACTGGGGGTACATTTGTGGCTGATCCAGGCGTTTGCCCATGTAGCTGGAATCTTTATCTCCGAGGCAGGGAACTGGATGACAGGGTATAGTGCCCCAGGCCGAGCTTCCTCTTAAACCACTATTCCTGACAGTCCCGATGACTGATGAGGCTTCCTTTGAGATTCCCCGTCTTCCACCACTCGCTAGTTCCAACACAGCAAGAAAATAAAAAAAAAAAAAAGAAACACACGGAAAAAAGGAGAGGGGGATCGGTAGGAAAAACCCACACACAGCTTCCCCAGATCTGCCTTCCCCCTGCTGCCGGGGGTCCACTTGGGATGAGGCAGTTTGTTCTCTACCAGGCTGTCTGTAGTGATGTCAACTGCCAGCGTTTGTAAAGTGGAAAAAAAAAAAAAAATCAAAGTCCTTTTAGCATAACTCCGAATCCTTGCAGATCAGCTTCCTGTCTCCTGTTTGTCTCTTTCCTTACCTTAAAGAAAAGGAAAATAAAAAGAAAGAAAGAGAAAGGAATAAGAAAAAGGAAAAGGAAAACAAAAAAAAAGTGAAAGAAAAAGAAAGGGGAAAAGAAAAAGAAAAAGGAAAAAAAAAAAACCTTGCACAGCTTAGTTGCTGCTGTCTCCCTCCCAGAGTGACATGGTGTTCAGGGTTTGTCCTGTCCTTTCATTCACTTCCCCTCCTTCCAGCCGGTGGGTGGAACCGAGAGAGCCTCTCCAGGGAGCAGCGTACGCAGTCCAGAAGGCTGCAGTATTTCCTCCAAGAAAAAAAAAAAAAAAGGCTGCTTCAACCCCTGCTGCAAGCAAAGTTCCGATTCCCTCTGCTGGCTATCTCGAATAGCAAAGCGATTTTTACAGCAAAGCTGCTGCCGCTGGAACTGAACCCAGGGAACTCAGATGCGGGAGGTGGATTATTTCTTATCCTCCCTTCCATCTACTCCACAGAAGAGCTGCTTTCTTTTCTTTTCGTGCCAAGTTTAAAGGTAAGCCACATGGCTAAACGAAACACTGAAGACCATGGGAGGGAAGAGAGGATGAAGAGAGGCAGGAAGTAAAAGGGAAAAAATAAAATAAAGGCAGAGGGACTAACCTTGTTGGAGAAATACAAAAAGTGTGTCCCAGACGCTTCCCAAACCTGTTAACACACTAAAGCCAGATGAATCCAAGATCTGGTTTAGAAACTAACCTTTTACCTCTTGGAGGACATGGAGGACGCTAACTATTGAAGAAATTTTAGTCTACACCAGGACTACTATTAACCAGCCGTGCATCGCAGATCACAATGACCGACTGGTCGCTGCAGAAATAATTATTCTTATCATTACATCCATTTTGTAAAAATCAAAAAAGATGTTCCCTAGAGTTTATGAACTTCTTTATAAATAAAATCACTGGTTCTCTCATTGTCTATCTCTTTATGATTATTTTGATTCATGGATGCTATAATCGCTTTACTGATATCATCACACACACAAAAGGAACAAAAATCATAATTACTTGGCAGAGTTTTTCCTTACCAAGAATAAGTAATATTCTGACATGTCTATCAGCTGCTACATTATAATACAAATTGTTTCCAAGAAAATATATTTCCTTAAAGGGTCCCTTTTTAAGGCGGGCGAGACTAAAATTAGATGTGCCAGCTGTGTTTTGCTGTGAGTGCTCACGCATGCCCAAAGCGCGGGCAGGCCAATACTGAGCTTCTTTCTACTTTGTCAAGTCGGCTCTGTCTCCTCGGCCCAGAATCTCTTGTTCAGATGGAAGGTTCCTGGTACAAATCCAGCTTCCTAGTCAAGAAAAACAGAGAATTCGTGTCCAATGCACAACATGGTGTCCATCCACTTACGAGCCCCACCACCCCTGAGGCAGTTGGCTTCCGCTCAGGGGTCTGGTTTCTGAAAGCTGTGTGAGTGCATGTGTAAAGATAAGAATGGTGAGTGAATCATTTTACGTTTGGCTTTTGACAAGAACAACAATCAGAAGGAAAGAGAGACGGTAGGAGAATAGGTGTGAGGAGCCCTGACTGCGCTATAATTGAGAAAATGAAATCAACTACGCTGATGTTTAAAAGTGTTATTCTGGGCCTCACTTGAACCATCTAGAAAATGGAAACAGTGCCAACTTACCTGGCTGAAGGTGGTCAACTGAGTCAGATACTAAATAAAATTCTCAATGATTTAAAAATACTTCAGTGACATCTCATTGCTCAGACAATGAAGTCCTGACTCTTGGAACAACTTTCAAGGCACTTGGAAACCCACATTCTTTCTCCTTACATTCTACGCCTGAGTCTCACTGAAGTGCTTTTAGGATTAGAAAGTGCTCTCTTAGGGCTTTCTGTCCTTCCCTCTGCCCATAGTGTTCCCCCAAACCCACCTCTATGTCCCTTACTCTTCAGCCCATTTTTAGGTCCCAGCCTGGATATCACTCCCACAGAGTAGCTTTTCCTGTACCCTTGCTTCCCCACTGCACCTTATATTTGCCCTGATATTATACTTATCCTATGTAACTGCCTGTTCATGCCAGGTTTCTTCTATGATGCTCTAAAAGCATCAAGAAAAACAGGAAAGCAGGAGTTCCCACCTCTCTCGTCCACCTTCACATTTCAAAAACTGGTGTGGCATCCGGAACAAATGGACGCTCTGTAAATGATGAATAAGACATCTTAAACATGATAATGCTAACCTAACTCATATCCCTCTTCTAGTATATTTTAGCATATTTCTGGGTGCAGGAGATACTGTGATACACAGACCATAACATGGTCTTTTCCTTATAGAGTGTATATTCTAGAGAGAGAGATGAACAAAGTAATAAGCAAGATAAATAAAGCTGAATAAAGAAAAACAGTCACAGAGATTCCACCTCCAATTGGACAGTCAGGAAATGTTCTCCAAGGAGGAGCGGAAGGAAGGGAGTAGATTGTATCCTGGGTGTGGAATACTGTGAGAAAGACTTGGCGCCCACCTGGACTATGTTGGTGCCAGTCCTTTCTCTCCTGCATCACTCTGCCTCAATTTCCTCATCCATCCAATGTCACTACTCGCTTCATACAGTTACTATGAGAATTCACCAGGTGAAACATTTGTAACACCATGCAACTTATTGGATCTGCTCAAAAAGAATCAGCCTGCATCTGGGAAAAGAGCATCCCCAGCCGAGGAAACAAGTATAGAAAGCTTGGCAGCCATGATATGTCTTTGGAATGTGTGAGAAATGATGCAGGGGCTGGAACTGAGCAAGTGAGAAGTAGAGTCTATAAAAATGATGCTGGGGAAGTACTCTGGGGCCAGACCATAACTGTCTTGGAGAGAACTTGTTATGGACAGCTACAATAGTGACAGTTGATGGTCTACAGCCAGGACTCCAACCAAATATTCTGATTCTAGATCTTGTCACCTTTGACTAGAGAAAGCTGTCCTCCTAAATGACCTATTGAGGTTCCTTCAATTTCTAAGACCTATATGATCAGGATCCTAGAATGCTTCTGCTAATTTTGCCACTGTAGACAAAAGACATTCACATTCTTTTATTAATAAGTGGTCTAGATATTCCTTGAAAGGGAAGGAATACTCTCATTTACAAATGAAAGGCAAAATAAATAACTCCTCAATCAGAGCTATAGTCTGCTAATATGTAAAGTTCCCAGCACGTGTTGATGTTTTCAGCAATTTCTACACAAATTGCCACTTTCCAAAATGCTATTCTATTTTATTAAATTATTATGTTCTATGCATCAATTGTTATCAGCCTATGACCATTCATTGAACATTTAAAGCTTTTCTTAAATAATGCAAAGGTGATTTACCACTTATGACAATAGTAAAATCCATGTTTTATTTATTTTTAATTTTGTTCCCTCAAATACCAGAATTCATGCAATTTTGGAGGGAAGATACTCATGTTAAAAATAGTTTTTATTTCATGTCTGCTCTGTTGGAGTCGTAGTGCTTTCCGTTTAAGTGATCAAGTTAAGGTAGGAGGTAACTAGTTTAAGTCACTCTCTAAATCAGAAGGCAGCTGTGTCTCATTTGCCAACTAACTAAAACACTTTGTGCAAATTCAAGAGCAGCAAACTGCATCAAAGGGAATGGACTCATAGAATCATGTGTTTTGCCAAGCACTCATTAAAGACAAGTTCTTGGCTAATAGGATTGAGGCAATGCCTCAGACGCACCATCCAGAGCGGGAGAAGCGATGGTGCTAAAATGAGAGTCAATTGGAAAGCAATGGAAACTCTCTACTCATTCACCCTTGACCTGTCCACTCAAAGAAAAACTGGGCCCTCTCTTTGAGTGAGTTATTGTTTTCAATTACAAAGTCTTAGCCAAAAGCAAAGGAAAAGAACAGTAGAGACATAAGAAAAAATATATAATTATACTATCTTTTTAAAAGAAAGTATACTATTCTAACTTCAAGAAAGGTATTCATGACCTTGAATATTTTTTTAAGTTGGCATTTTCTGCCTTCTTTATTCAAATTAGTGAAATCCCTTTCAAACACAGCAATTGCCAAAGGAGCATTAAACATAAAAGTTGTTTAAAAAAAAAAAAAAGACAAGATGGTTGACTGCAAATTCCAATATTAAAATAATGTTATAATTGTCTTTCTCCTACTGAATACTGACCAACAGTTTAAGAAAATACCTGAGACAAATTAGAAGAAAGAGATTACTAATGATTCAAGCAAATTTAAATTATAATAGAATGTAAAAATATTAATATAGATAAGAACAATCAAAATTGGCCTTGGAAGAAAATTTCAAGCCTCAGGATAAAATTATAAAGGACTGTAGTTCAAAAGCATTTATCTAGTATAGAAGCAAAAATAATTTAAAGCAATGAAATTAACAAAGTTTTATTGAGTACCTACTATGTGCCCAAATAATCGAGGATACCAACATAAATATTCCTAACATTGCTTCAAGTAGACTTACCAACTCAGTATCTATCAAACATCAACCATTCATAAATGACCATAATGTTGTCTTGGATCTGAGTATCAATTTTTAGCAAAATTATGAAATAATTTTCTTTAAGTTCTCATTTTTTTGAAATGGATACTTACTTATAATTCTAAGCAATAATATACATGGAAGCTCATGTTTATTTGGTTCCTATTATATTTTTAAAAAATACACACTATCCTCTCACTCTATATACATTTTTCAAGACACTAATACTTTAGTAGGCACGTCTGGCTTTCCTTTACCACTAGGATTACCAAGA